TGTATAATAAAATACTCCAACACTTAGTGGCTTAAAGCAGCAAATATATCATTTCTCTTGACCCTATGGGTCTGCTGGGCAGTTCTGGTCTGGCCAAGCTTGGCAAATCTCTGTTGTCAGCTACAGCTTGGCTGGGACTGAAAGTTTAGAGTGACTTCACTCACACTTCCTGGTGGTTAGCAGAAGGGCTTGTCCAGGGCCCTCATTGGGGCCAGCTTATCTTGGCTTCAGTGGTTTCTCCATTGCTAATAGGCTGGTCTGGGCTTCTTCACATGGTGACGAAAAGGGTCCCTGCAGTGAGAGAGGTCCCAATGGACAGGAGTTTTCAAATCTCTGTTTGCATCACAGTTTGAACTGTTCCTTTGACCAAAGCAGGTCATGTGGCCAGACCCAGATCCAAGAGGTGGATAAATGCCTCCATCTCTTGAAGGAAGGAAGAGCGAAGTCACCAGGCAAAGACTGTAATCCGGGATGGGAGGGACTCGGAGCCATTTCACAACCTACTTAATTACAAACATTTAAGCAACAAGGGTGTGAATTCACATTCTTGGTTATAACTCAGCAGCTGGAAATATATCACTTAAAATCACTAACTTCTCATGTTAGCCCCTGTGATTTGACTCCTAAAGGAAAACTTGCCATTCATATCAAGTTTATAGAGCAATCCACAACTTTATATTTCACAGAGCTCTCCTGTCCAAATCTCTTGTCCAAGTACATCAAATGAGACATTGCTAAAAGCATACTATTTATATCAATGACTCCCAATTCCCTTCCCCCAGCCCCACCCAGAGAAACTTTTCCAGAATTTGAGTGAGAATCAGGGGCTGGAGGAGGAATGTAATATGAAAACACTTACTCAAATAAATCACAAAATTTTATAGTTAGACAATGGAAGATATATATAATTATCTTTTATAATACAGATTATAGAAAGCACCACATTTATAAAATGGAGGCATGGTTTTTAAAAACTGAAAATCACCAACCAGATAGCAGAGAGGTTCCTGTGTCCAGGTATACCCTGACCTCAGTAGAGGCCATGTCTCTCCAAAAGAAACCCTGTGACCACAGAGAGCCAGCATCCCTGGGACAGCACAGGAATATTCTTCTTCTGGCTGGATCAGAATCTGCATCTGTCCCCTAGCTTGCTGAGACTTGGCGACCTGACAAGTGTTTTACATTCAAAAGGTCACATTTTGAGTGAATCTGCCCAGAAACTCTACTGAACAGGGCCTTGCCGCTCATGCCTGAATGCCCAGGCCTGGCACCCTGTCCCCTGCTTCTGCCTTTCTGACAGCTGTGGGAGAAAGACCCAGGTTCCCAGCTTGGGCTGTCAGCACAGGCAGGATGGCCCTTTTGCTGAAGGTCAAACTCTAATTCTCACTGCAGGGAGCCTTCTCTCTTGCTCTTTCTTTCAGCATGCCCATTTTAATAATTGCTTGTATTTTTCTGCTGCTTTATAGCCTTCAAATCATTTTCCCTTTCATACCTTAGGTTTAAGTAAAAAAAGAAAAAAGAAAAACAAAACAAAAAAAAAAACATTTTCCCTTTCACAATTTCATTTGATTCTCTCAAACAGAAGGAGGTGTCAGAACAGTCACAAGTTTCCCTTTTGTAAGAAGAAACAGACACAGAGAGACCAAGCAACTGAGTGTTGGGAGAAAAATATAGGGACAGAAAGGTATGATCCCTTTCCTCCTCATAATAAGGGTCACTGCTGACACTCCTCTAACAAAAGACAGGTTAACAAGAGAACAACATAACAAACTTGTTTAATCAGAGTTTTACAAGACACGAGAGCCTTCAGAATGAAGATGCAAAGATATATGGAAACTATCCATTGTTATGCTTGGATTTGATGAAGAATGGACAGCCGTGTAGAAATGTGATAGGACAAAAGTGCGTGACTTAATAGTAATAAACCAAGTGGGGAAACCCAGCAAGGCCTGTTTGTTTAGATTCTTCTTGGCCTCTCTGCCATCGCATTTCTTCCTCCTGGGTATGGGCAAGAGCTCTCTGGAATGAGGGTCTTAAGACCTATGATCAGATAAGAATAGGTCGGGGAATTTCTTTGCAGCCAGCTCCTAGACAGAATGATGACGGGAGTTTAGAGTAATAATTCTGGTTTTTATGGCTGGCTTTGGGGAAGAGAGGTTCTAGTTTCTCTGACCACCACCACCTTAGGGAAGAAGAACTCTGTTTTCTATGACTTGCTTCAGGAGAGAATGAGAGGAGAGAGATATAAGGTTAGACCTTGGTTCTACACCTGCTTCTGAAGCCTTCCAATGCCCTTTAGTTCAAAGTAGTCAGCATGCCAAAGCTCCACTCTTTGGGGTATCATTTTCTGAGCCCCAACAAAAGTATAATACAGTGGTTAAGAACAAAGTCTCCAGTGTTAGCCTCCTGCCTGTTACCAACAAGGAAACCTTGGGCATACTACGTAATCTCTCTCTGACTCAGTTTTCCTACATATAAAGTAGAGATAATTTTCCTATTCATAAGATTTTTGCAAGAACAAAGTATAATAAGAAAAATGTCTTGAGTACAACAATATCACAATAAGTCATCAGTATTGCGTTTATTATTGGTATTGCTTCCGTTGTTATCACATAGCTAGTTAATGGCAATGAGGATGCATATCCACGGACCTGAAATCTGCACTACCTGAAATCTGCAACTTTAAATAAAGACAGTGGGAGTCCTGGCTGTTCTGCTCTTTCCCAAATGAGAAACAAGCTATCCCATGTAGTCTAGAGTTCTCCACTAGACCCATTTTCTTAAAAGAAAGCTTCTTTCCTACAGCTCATTAAAACTTCAGAAAAGGGCCAAGCGCGGTGGCTCACGCCTGTAATCCTAGCTCTCTGGGAGGCCGAGGCGGCCGGATCGCTTGAGGTCAGGAGTTCGAAACCAGCCTGAGCAAGAGCGAGACCCCGTCTCTACTATAAATAGAAAGAAATTAATTGGCCAACTAATATATATAGAAAAAATTAACCGGGCATGGTGGCGCATGCCTGTAGTCCCAGCTACTTGGGAGGCTGAGGCAGTAGGATCACTTGAGCCCAGAAGATTGAGGTTGCTGTGAGCTAGGCAGACGCCACGGCACTCACGCTAGCCTGGGCAACAAAGTGAGACTCTGTCTCAAAAAAACAACAAAAAAAAAAACTTCAGAAAAGAATCCCAGGGCCCTAAACTCCTTTTGGTATGATCAAAAAAAAAAAAAAACAAAAACAAGTTTTTCCCTAAACTGGGTTCGTGTTCAGAATACTATTAGCCTTTCCCTCCACAGCCTAGTAGTCTAATCTAGGAAAGTCAATATTTCCAAATATTTAATAAATCAGCTCTACTGATAATCAAAAGTTCTTCATATAGCCAGGAGTTTCAAATCCTTTCCCTACTAAACTTTCAACACATTTGCTCAAAAATCACTAATGTTTAAGTGTTTAAGTTCTTTTTCGTCTTTCGTCCCTGAGTAATGATCAATGGATATGTTAATGAGTAGCAGAAGGCTATAAGGTCAGCAACAGGACAAGAAGGTGAAAAACTGAGAGTCCACATGAGCCAGCAATCTGGTTGCCACCCCCTGAATAATCCATGATCAACTCTGCCCATCTGAAAGAAAATGAGAGATGTGTAGTTACAGGATGCAGAAATAAACAAAAGTTTCCAAGAAGAAAAGAATTAAATTTCAAATATGATCATTAACTACATAGGGAAAAAAGCAAATGAGAGAGAAAATGAAAAAGAGGGAAAGTCAGAATCCCCAGGAAATACATTAAATCATGACTATAAAAGACAAAAAGAATATGAAGTGAAAAAAAATAATAAGAAACCTACCTTCACTGCACTCTGTATAACCACAGAGCAGCCTGTAATGAATCTCTCACTACCATTAAATTAAACTCAAATTGCTTTTTTTTCTAATTAACATATGCCTGAGCCAAATGTGAGAGTGGAAGTCTCTTTTAATGCCTTTCACATGCCACAGACATATTACAACCAGAATGTAAGGTTATTGATGGTTTTCAATAGCTTTCTGTAAAGTATAGGCCAACCCTTATAGAAGGTATATGTGAGAGTTAATTGAATTCCAGGTGCATTTACAAGGGCCAGGTCTGTTACAGTACATAGCAAATGAATCCATAATGAGAAGATATTCCAGACCAATTGTTTCCAAATTATGCTTTTAGATTATCTCCATTTCTCTTTTGAAAATATGTCTTGATATTTTTAGCATGGCATGAGAAACCCTTGACTTTTCTGGCATCAAATTATGTCTTCAGTTTCTATGGGTGTTCTCCCTCCTGCTTTTACACACCAACCTAGGCACATGGGACTAGTACTCATTGTTCCTAGTAAACCTCTAGCATCCTTCAAACCCCAGCTCAAATATCACCTGCTCTGTGAAACCTTTGCCAGCACTCCTAGGTGGTGTAGAACTCCCTCCCCAGTGCTCCCACCTCCTTGAGTCCAGGCGTCTATTCTTCTACATGTGGCCTCAGTGAGAATCTTCTCTTCTAACATTTGAACTCACTAGCTTAAGGGTATAGCAGCCAAACTGCCCATATATATGGATTGTATTAGTAGTCAAGTAACAGAAACCTATGGGAGCTAACTTAAATTCAAAGGGAGGGGGCATATGATTACAAGTCTACATGGAAATCTCATGGAATCCAAGCCAAGCCTCAGGGAAAGACTGACAAAAAAATAGAAAGCCATCTGAAATCCAAAGTTCATACTCTCCCATATTCCATCACCAACTCTTCCTATCATCTGCTTAACTCTTTAATCACTGCAGATGGACGTTTTCCTTTATCAACCTACACAGCCAAAGGACAGGTTGTTGTAAGCTATCATTCCTTAAAAAAAAAGAAAAGATGGGATGGTGGCCAAGGGACTCAGTTCCAGAACAGTTTTTGCACCTTATAGGGCAGGAGTTCAGCCGTGCAAAAGGAATCCTTTGTTGTCTCCCCTTTGGTCCCAATTCCAAATTCCAGGGAAGGAATCCGACTGCCCAGCTTGAACCAGGTGTCCACTGTGATCCAGTTTGGTATGGTCAGAGGGGCAGGAATATGTGCTTCAAACACAATTTAGTGGGAACACTGGGAAGAGGACAAAAAAGAAGGGAGGAATCATTGTGAGTTCAGTAGCCAGCCAAAAGGTGACTCTTACATGGGTTATTTTGTTGGATAAGAGGGAGGAAGAGAAAGAAGGGAGGGAGGATAATAAGGGAGGGACGAATCCAAACACATTTTTGAGGGCTTCGAAATGGTGATGAGTCAAAGCAGAAGGTTGGGAACTTAGTGTCTTGCTGGAGATGCTCTTGAAATCCAGTTGTAGTGACGTCATCGCGTGTACATACGCGTATGATGTGTATCTGTGTGTAAGTAACCACTGATCCAGACCCTTACATTTGAGAACATGTATGCTAATCGATAGCAGAGATTTGCAGCTTAGGAAAAATAAAAAATAAGGAAAGTCTTCACTGAAGATCCCTAAACCAAAAATCTATACTGTCGGTGGCATCTGCTCCAAACAAACTAGGGGGCTGTAGCCTTCGTACTTAGTATGTATCAAAACCTCCTGGGAGGTAGGAGAGAAGTCCATATCTGCTCACACTGAAGTATAAATGTGTGCTCACAGCAGACAACCAGCAGCCCTTTGGGCATCATATTGTCAATCAGATTAACGACTTGCATGGTCAAAATTTCCCAAAGCGTGGTCCACATCAGAAGCTCAGCCAAGAAATCTGCTTATTTAACAAGCTCCCAAGAGCTGCTCAAGCACAGCACCGCTGTGTAGCAGCGTGGTAGGCAGCCTCTAAAATGACCCCCAGTGACCCCCCAGCATACCCTTTTGTAGCTCCCTCCCACGTTATACTCGGTTTCATCTGTATGACCAATAGCACATAGCGGAAGTGATAATACATCACTTCCAGGGTTAGATTAGAAAAATATTTAGGCTTCCATCTGGCAAGCCTGCTCCCTCTCCCTTTCCCTTTGCCTCTGTTTGATCGCCACTCCCACTGGGAGAAGCCACGAACAGTCCTATGGAGAGACGTGGCAAGAGACTGAAGCCTCCTGCCAACAGTCACGTGGCTGAGATTAAAAGTGGATATTCCAGTTTCTTCAGAAATACTAGCTGACAGCTTGATTGCAACATCCTAAGAGACCGTGAAATCAGAACCACTCAGCTAACCATTCCCAGATTCCTAACCCTCAGAAACCATATGAGGTAACAAATGTTTGTTGTTTTAACCTGCTACATTTTTAGGACAATACATTACACAGCAATCGATGATAAATACAGGTGGCTAGTCTTCAAAGACGGCCCCTTCCTGTCCTTTCCTACTGTTCCTCACATCAGGTGTTGGAGTTTATTTCTCCTCCTCTACATCTGAACTGGCCCTGTGGCTGGTTTGAGCCATAGTATAAGGCAGAAGTGACATTCTAGAACTTCTGAGCACAGATTTTAAGAGAACTGGGAGCTACCTGCCTCTTGGAACCCAGACATGTGCTGTGAGCAACCAAGGCCACATAGAGAGGACATCTGGAGGAGACCCGAGGTGTCTTTTGGGTCTGCCGTATGAGCCCCCTTGGATGCCCCACCCAGCTGAGTCCCCAGATGACTACAGCCCCCACCAACGCCATGTGAAGCAGGACTGCCTAGTCGATCCAAAGAGTTGTAAAAAATAAATGGTGGCTGTTATTTTAAATCACTCAATTTGTGAGTAGTTTTTAGGTAGCAATATATAACCAAAAACATACTGTCTTAATCTAATAAATTTGTAAAAGAAAATAAAAATCTCAGGCCCATCCGCTCCCCAATTCCTTATGGGAAAGTAGAAGAGAAAGTCCTCTGGCATCTGTGAAGGATTGTCCCCACAGATCATTCATTAAGGAAATTTCCTTGCTGGCCTCCCACAAGCAAGGATATTCAAATTATAACTTTAGGTCTGCAAGCTGTATCTAGTTCCTAAAAGTAAAGTCCATTCAATTCCACACTAATAATGAATTACAAGTTTATCTTCACAGGTGCAGAACAGAGACAAAATAAGACCAGACATTCTTCTACCTACCCGGGGACATCTACATAATTCATGCTTCCTTCACTCCCTTTTTCTCTTCTAACATTCACCTTATCTTATTTAAAATGTAGATTTTCCTGAGTCTCACAAGAATGTAACCATTTTGTCTCACTACTCCTATGCCTTGCCTTTTTCTCCCTTTCTGTATACCCTACTTTCCTTTAATACTGAAAATTCCAAAGTCCCCTTCAGAAAAACAGCCATAAGTTTGTCTGTGGTTTGGGGTTTTCCCAGGTGTGTCTCAATTTCGGCTTAATAAACCTCCACTGATTGAGATTTTTTGCCTCATTCACTTCTTTGGGGTCAAAAAAATTTATTCTTTAATGATTAGATTCTGAACATCATGTATAAGTGAGGTACAGATATCTGTCCAAGGAAAGATGTCACTTGGCAAAGGACACATGCCATGAGAGATAGCCTCCTGCCTGGCATTTCTTTGTACCCACCATGATGCCAGATATCACTGGAGACCCACGAAGGCTTTTTGACATTGGCTCCCCCAGTGTCATTTCTGCTTCTTATAATAACACAAAGAAATAACATTTACTGAGCTCTCCTAGCCACCAGGCACTGTCCTAAGTAGTTTACCTCTATCAATTTATTAAATTATGATAGCAACCCAAAGAGCTAGGTCCTGTTGTTAGTGCCATTCTCTATATGGGGGAAACTGGGGCCCACAGAGGTAAAGACCTTGTTTGACCAAGCTCACACAGAGCCCACAGGCAGTGGACCAGCAGTGGGTGGGACCTGTTCAGTCCAACTCCACATCCCTGCTCTTAACCACTACTGCACACAACCCTCAGTCCTCGGAGGTAGACGCTGTCATTACCTCCATTTTAGGGACAAGGTATCTGATGCTTATGGACAATGAGTCCCTGGCACAAAGTGCACACCATTAATAAAGGGAAGATCTAGAAGGGAAAACTTCCTTTTATGCAACTCTATTTTATATCCCCACACTTGCAGAACATGCAGATTATAGGGGGGTCTGGTCCAGTCATGTAATCTCAACTCTTCCAGACTCTACTTTCTAGGCTCTTCTAGGCTGTACTTTAGGAATAGTTTTTTAAGGAGAAAAAGGGTCAGAGAATCACACACCTATGGTGTTAACTCAGCAGCTCTTTAATGCTCTTTGCTTCCCTTTTGGGGGAGATCATCAGAACGTAGAAACATTCTCTTGATTTCTTTACAAATGACTGGCCCATTTTCAGGGACTCAGAGGAAACTAACCATATTTAGAAATTCAAAGGGGGAAAAAAAAAGGAGTCAGCAAACTCACAGATCTGCAAGAGAGGAGTATTTCTAACTCCTCCCATCCTGAAACCAATTAAGAGAAAACCCATTTGCTTTCTCTTCGTGTTAACTGTGAACATCCTCTATCAAGGAAATGTGAGTATTTTTCACAGCCATGCCTTACAGACAGTGAGAAAGTAAAAGAAAACAAACACTCCCATCCCCTATTTCGTTTGATTCTCATGAGTTCCTTTTACCAGCAAAACGTATTTTACATGTGTAGCATGATGATTTATTGAGAATTTTCTGTAGTAGGATAATCTACTGTTATATGTTTGTGTCCATTTCTTCGTGTCTATCAGGAAGGAATGAATAGCATTTACCCCTTCCCAGAAGGCCTTTGTTTCAGGGCCAAAAAAGAAAGCTGCCACACAGGGGTGGGGACAAGGGAGCACCCAGATGACATTTCCAAATCTGATTGGGCATTCGGAAGGACTCACCCCAGGAGTCTGGCCTGTAGGGGAGATAGGCTCTTTCTAAATATATCCATACGTTGCTGGCTGCCCAGAGAGGATTTGGACAATTACTTTGCAACTAGCTCAGTTGGTGGCTTGTTCAGAGTGGAGAGGACTGGCTAGTTGGTACTTTGAAGGTCATCTGAGATAAGGTTTCTCAGACTTGTGGTTGGGGCCAGGGGGACAGCTGGTGCCTCCTCACACCCAAGAGTGACTGAGACCCGAGTCCCAAATGCTGTGGTCTCAGGGGCTTTAGCAACAGTCCCATCATTACTCAGTTTCTTAGATGCTAACCTTTTCTCCTCTTTCCTCCTCCTGTTTCTCTTTCCTATCGCATACATTGTACTGTAGGCATGTCATCTCCTGTTTCTTCTACACACTTGCTTGTTTTACCTTCTCTGCTCTCTTCCAGAAAGTCAGTATTTCCATTACGCAGCATTTTTCCTCCCTCAGGTCCATGTTACAGAATGCCTACCAGCTTCTGAGCACAAGTCAGCCAACTAAGACCCACGAGCCCAGCCCTGCCTACAGCGGGTGTGTGTAAATAGTTTCATTTGGAATACAGCCTCATCCATTCCATCATGTATTGGCTATGGCTGTTTTTAAGCTTTGCAACAGCTTAAAAAAAGCTATGGCTGTTTTTAAGCTTTGCAAACCCTCAAAAGCCTAAAATGTTTACCATCCAGTCTCTTTTGGAAAAAGTTGTCAGGTCTTGATCCAGCCCAAGAAAAGCATTATGTTGTACTGCGTATTATCAACCTGCACTTTATCCATCTTTGGATGATGTCTTAATAGAGGTCAATGCAAAGTATTCTGGGAGCACCATTAGATTTTTTTAAGTTCCCTATAAGTGGTTTATAGCTGCCATGTTAGTTGAGGCTTTATACTGCAGATAACAAACAACCATTCAAGCTATAGTATGCCAAAAATAATTTCTTTTTTTTTTTTTTTTTTTTTTTTTTAGCTATGGGATCTCACTCTGTCACTCAGGCTGGAGTGCGATGGCACAATCATAGCTCACTGTGACCTCAAACTCCTGGCCACAAGGGACCCTCCCACTTCAGCCTCCCAAGTAGCTGGAACTATAAGCATGTGTCTCTCTACTCCACTAATTTTTTTCATTTTTTCAGAGACAAGTTCTCACTATGTTGCCCAGGCTGGTCTCAAACTCCTAAGCTCAAATAATCCTCCCACCTCAGCCTCCTGAGTCACTGGGATTAGAGGCATGTGCCACCACACCCTGCCCAAGAGTTTTTTATAAAATAATAAGATGCTGGTTTCTTCTCTATTGGTCAGAATTCAGATAACAGAACCACTGTCAGTATTACAGAATAAGAAGTTTATTTGTTATGGAAATGATACTTTACACAACTGTAGGAGGCACTAGGCAAGTAAGGTCTGCAAAGAACAACTAGAGAATCAGGGGAAAGTCACTCCCAGCTTCTTGAAGCCTGGCTGGAGGAACACGCTGGGACAGGATGGGAAGCAAGAAAGTTACAGAAAATCTGTGTCGACTAAGATCTATGTGGACATCGTTTGTTACACCTTCTCCCCTTTGTAAAATCCCACTGGCATCCATTCAAAGAACAGAAATACACCCCAGAATTCTATGTTTTAGAAGAGTTTAAATGCTTTTTTGGCTTACTTTGGCATGAGAAGGGTCCTCATTCAAACCCTCATCTTCATCTCTGTACATAAGAAAAAGTGACAATGGTATTCTAGGTTTACTTCTCTGTAGTTCTTGTCTCATTCACAATAAGGGTTCTCGTCTCAACTTTCTTGATTTTGACGGAAGGTTCATCTGTGTCACTCATCTGTTCTGGAAGTCACAACTTCCAGAACAGTGATTGGGTGAGTGTTGGTTCTAAAATACATTTGCATCTCACTCATTGTGTTTGTATATACCCATCCCCTCTTCCACCCTCCCACCTGCCCGACACCCGATAAATGTTTTTCCTATATGTCCACTAGGTGTTGATCCGTTAATACCAATTTGCTGGTGAGTACATGTGGTGCTGGTTTTTCCATTCTTGAGATACTTCACTTAGTTGAATGGGTTCCAGCTCTATCCAGGAAAACGCAAGAGGAGCTATATCACCATTCTTTCTTAAAGCTGAGTAGTACTTCATGGTATACGTATACCACATTTTATTAATCCACTCACGAATTGATGGGCACTTGGGTTGTTTCCACACCTTTGCAATTGTGAATTGTGCTGCTATAAACATTCGAGTGCAGGTGTCTTTTTCATAAAGTGACTTTTGATCTTTTGGGTAGATGCCCAGTAGTGGAATTGCTGGATCAAATGGTAGATCTACTTGTACAAACACAATGAGTGAGATGTGCAACGTTTGGGGGATGGTCACGCTTGAGGCTCTGACTCGAGGGGGGAGGGGGGGCATGGGCAATATACGTAACCTTAACACCTGTACCCTTATAATATGCTAAAATAAAAAATAATTAATTAATTAAAAAAAGAACAACTAAAAAAATAAAATAAAATACGTTTGCAAGTTCATTGGTTCTAAAATACATTTGCAAGTTCATTGACGTTTCTCCCACAAAATGTACAGTCCAATTCAACCTCCCCTTGATTATGGGCTGACCATAGCAAACTCTTCAAAGAGATAGAATGCAACAGAAGGGATGCTGTTGAGACTTAAGAGGCATAGTCATAAAAAGTAACACAACTTCCGTGTGGCTTTTTCCCTCTCCTGAGAACAGGCACCTCTGGAGCCCTGAGCCATCGTGTGAGAAGACCCATTACCCTGAAGCCACCATGCTGGAGAGATTACACAGAGTCCACGTGGAGCCGGAGAGAGATGTCCAGGGGGCTCTGGTTGATCCAGCCCCTAGCTGTTCAAGTTTCCAAACCTAGGCTAGGAGTAGCTCCCAGATGATTTCCCTCTCCAGCCTCCAAGCCACCCCAGCCAACAACAAGGAGAGCAGAAATGAGCTTTCCCCACTGAGCCCAGTTCAGACTGCAGGTCTGTGAGCAAAATAAATGTTGTTGTATCTTAAGCCATAAGTTTGGGGGGCGGGGGGTATTATGTAACCATAGTAATCGAAGCAGGATGCAAAGCAATTTTCCAAATAAACTATAGAGTTCTAACTCAGAACCCAGTTAAATTGAGTGGCCAAAGATAAAAATGCACATATACCAATATATCACTATGGAATTTCATTCATCTGTGTCACTCATCTATCCATCCAACCGGTATTTATGAAGTGTCTCCTTTGTGTGCTGGGGAGTCAGTGGCAAAGATAGAAAAAAATCTTGCCTTGATGGAGCTTACAGGCTACTGTGAGTTAAAGAGACATTGAAGAAGTCGTTTATGAGAGTTACAAAAGGGGAAGCCCAGAGTGCTTTGGGCCTCTGTCAGATAATGTCACATATATTTTCTGGAAATTTCTTTAAAATAATTCCCCTTAATTACTAAGTGTTGTTTGGATTCTGGCAATGTTCCAGATATACAAAGCAAAAGAAAAGATATCAATTTATAATTTCGGCAAATGCAGGCTCGCTGGGTGATAGGAGTTTATGGTGGCTTCCAACTGCGGCAGTCAGCTGTCCTTTCTCTAGATCAAACATACATAGCCAAGATACTCATTGCATGCTTTTACCTGCGCCTACTTTGAAATTATTTATAATGATGAAACTATTAATACAAGATCATCTTGTCTCAGAAACACTCCTGTTCAGAGTGGCCTTAGTTCAGTTGCAAATCGAAATTACTCACACGATCTATATTAGAAGCTAAAAGCTCTCTCATCAGGCTGCTGTAATGAAGTTCTCTAAGCATTCTAGTGCATAAAGTAGAATTATGAAAACTGATCCAGTCTAATTATCAATGGGTCAGGTTTTTTTCCGCTGTTCTCAAAATGTAGCCATTGAAGTGGCTTGAAAACTCGTTGTCCAGAATTTAAATTACCTATTGCCAAGGCTCAGTGACTGCTCCAGGAATGAACAAAAGTGCTTAAAATCTCCGGACTGTTTGATTACAGGTACCCATCCACCGTCTGCTCAGTCATGTACAACCGCGCAATTAAAACAAATGGTGGTGTACAAAAGGCTGACGGAGGTAAATTTGGCCTACGGGCAGCGTGCCATTCTGTTAGAAGGAAGTGCCAGGCGTGGTTTAGGGAAAACAATAAACAAAAACGACACAGGCCCCTATGTGGTGCTCTCCTGGCACTTAGAATCAAGTAGGGAAGACAGACAGGAAAAATGGACATCAGTAATATGGTGCATGGCAGCTGTGTTACTGGGGGACAGTTTAGAGTGGTGTATCAAAAGAAGCTAACCCAAGGACATGACCTCTAAACTGAAGGTCAGGGAGGAGACAGCAAGTGGGAAGAGAAATCAGGGTTCAGGCTGAGTCAGGCATGGGCTAAGATGCTAGAGAGACTCAGAATTTTAGAGGGACTGAAAAATTCAGTATGGCTACAAGATTAAGAGGCAGAATGATGACAGATAAGGCTAGACAGGTAGGGGAAAGGGCAAGACAGGTCCTGAAAGGCCTTGTAAGCCATTTCAAAGAGTTTCAACTTTCTATTCCTTAGATTTCATTCCTAGCATGAAACAGACATGTTCAGCTAATGCCTCAATTTAAAAAAAGAGAGAGAGATTCGCTTTTATGAGGCTCCCTAAACATCAGATAAATAGAAAAATCGGTTTTTCTCTGGTCTTAGGTCAAGAAGACAGAGAACATGGAGCTCCCTTTCTTGTGCTCAAGGTTTTTCTTCTGAAGACTAGTAGCTATTTCCCCCTTGATCCTCTCAGTCCTGACCTCTCTGTGCCCAGCAGATTGGAGAGGGAGGCCACACAATTAAGTCTGAAAGCTTTGGAAATATCATTCTCCATTCTCAAGAAGAAATTTTCCAGCCAAAAGAATAAAAATCACTGTTTCAGACAAGCACACGAGTAGCTAAATATTGAGAGTTTAAAACTGTTTCAGATTTTCTTCCTAATGTAAGAATGATTCCTACGTAGAACATTTGTACCTTTTATGTGGGTCTCAGAAAAATCCTGAATCTTCTACTTTAGTACGTGGCCCATGTGAATACAGCACCAGCACTTTGTGGCAACCATTTTGACTGTAGGCATGTGGCTAAGCATATATAAATTTACTAATAGAATGCTCTGCACGAAAGTTGCCTCGCTTGCAGAAAGGGCCCAAGATAAGTGTAAGATATCTCCTAGACTGAGTGCTAGAGATTCACTGTACCCGATACGCTGCAGGGGGTGAGAAAATAGAGATTAATTAGATACATCCTTTAGTGCTTTGAAAGCCCAGCCACAGGCCTGATGACATGGGGTGGGCAGAGATTCTGGAGCAAACACAATTCTGTCATTTGGAAAAATCTTCCCAATTTCCTGTTTCCTGAACCAACCAAGCAAAATTCAAAATAAAAAAGGCCCTTCACTTAAAACAGACTAAGCAAAAAGGCAAGTATATTAGTTTCCTATTGCTGCTGTCACAAATTTCCAAAATCCTAATGCCTTAAAACACCACAAATTTATTCTCTTACAGTTCTGCAAATCAGAAGTCCAAAATGAGTCTTTTTTTTTTTTTTTTTTGAGACAGTCTCGCTTTGTTGCCCAGGCTAGAGTGCCGCGGCATCAGCCTAACTCACAGCAACCTCAATCTTCCAGGCTCAAGCAATCCTCCTGCCTCAGCCTCCCGAGTAGCTGGGACTGCAGGCATGCGCCACCATGCCCGGCTAATTTTTTCTATATATATTAGTTGGCCAATTAATTTCTATTTATAGTAGAGACGGGGTCTCGCTCTTGCTCAGGCTGGTTTCAAACTCCTGACCTGGAGCAATCCGCCCGCCTCGGCCTCCCAGAGTGCTAGGAGCCCCAAAATGAGTCTTATGGGACCAAAACCAAGGTGCCAGTAGACAGAGTTGCTTTCCTCTGCAGGCTGCAGGGGAGAACCCATTCCTTGCCTTTTCCAGCTTCTAAGGGCTGTCCCCAACCCCTGGCCATGGCCCTTCCATTCACTTAGCTTCTGCTGTCTCCTTTTCTGACTCTCCTGTCGCCCTCTCTCCCTCATAAGAATCCTTGTAATCACACTGGGCTCACCTGGACGACCCAGGATGCTCTCGCCATATCAAGATCCTTCATTTAATCACGTCTCAAAGTCTCTTTTTGCCACGTGAGGTAGCAAAAAGAAAAAAAAAAAGATGGATAAAGAGAAGAATAGACAGGTGATAAAGTGAGTGTCATAAAATGTAAATTGAAGAATCTAGGTAGTGGGTATGTGGGTATTTACGATAAAATTCTCTCAAATTTTCTGTGTGTTTGAAAATTGTCATAATAAAATGTCATGGGGAACAGAGGGTCGTTGCCCAGGGTTTTCAAGCTGAGTAAAAGAGCCATTTGCCACCTAGAGAAGAGGTCCACGGCCACAGGAGACCACAGTGTGTAGTGAGGAGAATGTGAGCTTCAGAGTCAGAGGTCCTGGATTCAAATCATGACAAGACCCAATTCTTGCTCTTTGGTCTTAGGTAGGTGCTTTAATCTCTTTGAGTTTCTGCATCTGCTAAATGAAGATAACAACACTTTTATGCTCCTGACTTTGCATGTGTGTTTTAAATCAGATAATGATTATAGACATGATCATCTGTAGACGTGCATGTGACAGTCTTTTGCTTTAAAATGTAGCAGGTGAGTGACAAGCAGGGGTAGGGGGGAGAGGGACCTGAAATAGTGGGGAATGAAAGGAGACCAGAGGTAAATTTAGAAATCTAGATTATGAAATCTTAAAACAACTGCAAAGATGATCTAATCAAAATCCTCATTTTTGCAGCGGGGAAAATGAGGCCTAGGATCAATCACCCATGGAGTTGGTGGCAGGGCCAGTATGGAAACCCATGTTTTTGATTTTCCAGTCACACCACAAGGCTCCAGTTAACTTTACAATCTGATGCTGGCCTGGTGTCAGTCAGAGGACGTGGAATATTCCTTGCCTGTCCCATCAGGGCAACCCTGCTTGGGGGTTTTCAAATGCTGTAATTAGCAAGTGAACAGAAACAAGCTCTCTGGGAGACTGGTCAGTGGAACATTCAACTCTTCACCGTGACATTTGACGAGCTAAAACAACAGGCATACAAACTATGCAGTGGGTGAGCTGAATTCCATCCTGGAGCCGCTTGTTGCATTTGACTCTGGCTCGTCCCAAGCTCAGGCACCAACTTCCCTGGCGTGCACAGGCTGCCCATGGAGCAGGATTTTCTGTGTTTTCCTTCATCCACCAGAAGTTTCCCTGCTCTGTCCTGGGTTGCAGACTGGAGACTTACCATCTGACAACTGTACGATTTTCTGTCACTTTCAAAAGAGAACAAGTATCCCCGCCACGCTAATTCGCCCTAATCAATTTCTTTCAAGGTTGTTTACCACTGGTTGGGTGGCATTAGCTTGCTTCTCTGCTTAATTTCAGAGAAAAAGAAAAAGAAAACCCTTAGTTTTTTTTTTTTTTTATCTGTAGAAGGATTTCAGCAATCTCCTAGGCAATTTTACTGGCTGAGGGGGAGAAAAGACAAGAAATGAAAAGAAAAATCCTGAGTTAGCACCCTCTGCCTTGGAGAGCAGGAAACAGAAAACAAAAATATTAAACTATCTGGGGGAAGTCTGTTTTCTGCTCCCATGAAAACCACATGGATACCGGATTTCTTGCACAGGTAGGTACCTACAAGTAAGTGTGTGTGTTTGTGTGTATGTGTTTGTGTGTGTGTATATGTTTTGGAGAGAGAGACAGTATGGGTGAGTGTGAGTTTAAAACCATGAAGCAGACTGATGAGAACAAACACAGAAAAATAAATCAACCAGAGGCCCAGACTCATTCAAAAAGTAATGAACCTCTTGTGACCTAATCTCTTAGGAAACTTCCAAGTTTTCTAAGATGTTTGGTGAGGTAGGAGAGTAAAAGGACTAAGATGCTGTGAAGAAAGACCCTCAATCCATCTTTCCGTATATACGTCTCTTAGAACCAGGGTTGACTTCACACTGGAAGGAACAATTTCTTCCAAGCTCCTTCGACCCAAGTCGTAGAGAACACAGAAGAAACACTGATGCATTCTTGTGCTTTCCAACACAAATTTATTTCATAGAGCCTTTGTGGCTATATAAAGAAATTCTTCGAAAGCAAAATGTTAAGAGAGTTCTGTTTGTAGAAAGTC